TTCTGTCCTGAGTGAGATAAAGCCAGTCTGCAACTTTCCATCCAATGTCTTAGATCCATCATCCTCCCATCTACACCTAGGTCTTGTAGCAGTGTCTTTCCTTTGGGTTTTGCTGCAGATGTGTTGTATGCATTTCACCTTTCTTCTGTGCTTGCTGTGTACCCTGATAAGTAAATCAAGTTATGTTGGCTGCACATCATGGCTTCACTCAACTTTGTTGGAGGCTGGTCGCATCCAATTGTGATGGGTGTTTTCCATTCCTTATTCTGGTGGTGTTAGTGCTGTGTGTTTGCGTAGATGTGCCCTCACCACAGCACATGCAGTGTGTGGTGAACAATGCCCAGCCCATTACATTCACAGGAATGTTGGTGTCACAGGGTGAGATGTTTGTACAGATATGTGTTTGTGTGTGGTGAATTCTCTGTCAGAAGGTTTTACATTGCAGTGAGTGTAAGGAGAAAGGTGACAGTCATCTTGCCAAATGATCTAGAATAAAAGCATGTGAACTCATTTCATGAAGCAGCCGATTCAGCACACAAATATGGCGTTTTGCTGTACAGAAATGGATTTTGATTCAGAATGTATATGGATAATGATTGTGGTGACTGACTTGCATGTGTTAGATTTCAGAAGAATTAATTTTTGTGACATGATCTTATGTAAAAGAGATTTCTGTGGTGTTGGGTGCCAGAGAAACAGGTTCCCCTTAAGAGACTTTTTGTGATCAGGCTTCACATCAGGTGAATGACCCCCTGTTGTCATTTAAAAGTATTACTCTGTCTTACATCATGCCTGAAGGCATTCATATTTTCTTCTTCCTTTTCCCTAGTGGCATCTGTTGGAGGTTTAACCGACCTTTTGGTGTTTCTGATGCTCATTTGATATTTGTGGCAGGGTTTATTTAGTACATTGCCTCCAGTTTCTGAGTTACTTGTTTAGTGTGTCACAATGTAAAACATATTTCTTGTATAGCAGTAGAGTAAGATATATGATTGCAGTTGTAATAGAATTAGGAGATGGTGCAGGTAGGATGTTTTCTTAATTTTTCATCGTTACTGATGTGGTCGTACCAGTAGCAGGAGTACCAGCTGTTCTGATGGAGAATTTCTTGGATTTCCATAGTTGTTACATTAAAGAAGCCTGGAATATTACCCCTATTTTGGTTACAACCACTTTCTCTTGAATCCCTTCCTGTCACCCATACCCTTGTATTGTGTGACTAGTAAATGCAGTTTGATGAACCATTCTTTGTGGCCACTGTTACTGCCATGTTCTCAGCCTGCCTTCCCTTGATTCTTAATAATGCAAGCACTTGTGTTACAGTTCTGATGAATTCATCGGTGAAGGGGGAATAAGTTCTTTATCAGAGTATGTAAAGAAGCCCCTCAGTTATGAAAATTGTGGGAAAGGAAGTGGACATATGCCCAACACTGCAGTGAGTCCTTTCAAATGTGATGTTTGTCAGAAAGAATTCTCAGACAGTGCTGAGTTTGTCAAGCACCGACGCAAACATACTGGTGACAGACGTTACAGATGTGACATTTGTGGGAAGGATTTCTCAGACCTTAATTACCTCGTTGGTCACCGCCGTGTTCACACTGGTGATACACCTTTCAAATGTGAAATCTGTGGGAGAGGATTTTCACAGAATGGAAATCTCGCTGATCATCGACGCACACATACAGGGGAAAAACCTTTTATATGTGAGATGTGTGGGAAGGGGTTCTCTCAGAGTAGGAATCTCGCTAAACACCGTCGTACACACACCCGAGCTGAGCCCTTCAAGTGTGACATTTGTGGCAAAGGATTTACTCGACCAGAAAATCTTGATTCTCACCGACGTGGACACACCGGAGATGAGCCTTTCAAGTGTGACATTTGTGGGAAGGGTTTCTCACGCACAGGGAATCTTATTAACCATGAGCGTACACATACAGGCGAGAAGCCCTTCACATGTCTTGTGTGTGGGAAATCTTATGCCCAGCGGGGAAACCTGGTCACACACTCCCGCACCCACACAGGCCATAAGCCTTTCAAATGTGACATCTGTGGGAAAGGGTTTTCACAGAATGGACATCTGGTTTATCACCTGCGCACACACACTGGTGACAAGCCTTACCACTGTGACATATGTCGCAAAAGGTTCTCACGGAGCGGATATCTTGTAGTACACCGTCGCAGCCATACAGGTGACAGACCATTCAGCTGTGAGATTTGTGGGAAAGGCTTCTCACAGAGGACAAATCTCTTTAAGCATGCTCGTACACACAAACAAGATAAGCTTCCTGCTGAGGTACCTGATTGAGAGACTAAGGTTTCATATGTAAAATGTGGAATTCACACATGTAGAATATTTTTAAGTACCTCAGTCAGTTACTGGTCATGGCTTCATGTATCAACAGGTTTTCCATTTTGATACAGTTTTGCCATCAATGGTGCTTGGGTCTTGTTCGTGTAACACAGAAACAAATGGTGGCATCTGCACCAGGAGATTGACATTTGTTGGGGCTAGTGCTGTAATGGTACCTGAAACTAGCACTCTTATGACAACTCTCAAAATACTGTTGCATTTTTTTTT